CCGTGTAGATTTTCTAATGTATCTTGGAAATACAAGAATCTAAACCAAATTAAAGTGATCATACTTGAAATGACAGTAACAGCAGACTTCATGGTTTTTGTAACCTTACTCAATAGGCAACTTGTTTTGTGCTCATCGGTGAGCAAAAGCAGTGGCTGTCTGGTGTAACTTTTTCCTATTTTGTTGCAGTTGTTTATCTTTGTTGTTGCAGCAATGGAGTTTTCTGGTTTTGTTTTGTTTTGTTTTGTTTTCTGCAGAACTTTATTAAATATTAGAACATTTGAAATTTTCATATAATAAAAATCAGTCAATACCAATTTCTGTATTTTCAGGATTGCAGTCTACTACAGTACTTCTAAAAAAGTAAAATGCTATGTAAGTGAGGTTACTGTTGTACATAAGGCTGTAATCATGAATGTCTCTACTCCACTGCTAGGATAAAAGATATGAGTTGTTTCCATGGTCCGTACAGATGTGTTCTGTTTTGTATCAGTGCAAATCTCTGTATTGTTTCAGGACTTGGGATGAGCCTGTATGTTTTGTTGGCAAAATTTTCTTGACATTATTTTATTAAGTAACCTACAGGTCTTCTATTCTATTCTACAAATACAATAATTTTTTTCCAAAAATAGTGTTGCATTTTGGAAATGTATTTCTAACTGTTGTTAGAGGTAATTCTAACTAAACAATAATAAAATTCATGAAAGATCAATGGCAGTTTTTTGGAAATGCTGATGAAAGGATTGTTTGTATTTGTGTAAAAGTGCTGAAGTGTGCAAAATGTTGCGCTTTTTATGTTAACATTTTAAGGTTATAATATATCAACTCCATATCTAACTGATATATTAATCTAATCAAGTATACTGATTTGCTAATAATTGTCAATAAGCAATAATAATCTACCTTCACATTTTTTAGCTTTGGAGAACAACTTAGTTCTTGCAAACAAAACCCCTATATTTCAGATGCTTAGAATCATAGAATCATAGCATCATATGGTTGGAAAGAACCTGCAAGATCACCTAGTCCAACAGTCCTCCCATTACCATTGCTACCATAAGCTACTAAACCATATCTCGTAGCTCCTCATCCAGATGCCTCTTGTACACTTCAAGGGACGGCAACTCCACCACCTCCCTGGGCAGGCCGTTCTAGTGCCTGACCACCCTCTCAGAGAGAAAGTTTTTCCTTAATTCTGATCTAAATCTCCTCTGGCACAACTTGTGGCCATTTTCTCGGATCCTATTTGTTGCCTGGGAGAAGAGGCCAAACCCCTCCTCATCCCAACTTCCCTTCAGGAAGTTGTAGAGTGCAATAAAGTCTCCCTTGATCCTCCTCTTCTCCAGACTAAACAATCCCAGCTCCCTCAGCTGCTCTTCGTAAGACTTGTGCTCCAGACCCCTCACCAGTTTCTTTGCCCTTCTCTGGACACGTTCCAGGGCCTCAGTGTTTTTAGTGAGAGGCCCAAAACTGAACATAATATTCAAGGTGCGGCCTCACCACTGCTGAGTACAGGGGGATGCTGAGTAAGGGTTCCTGCTCCTGGTGACTACACTATTTCTAATGCAGACTTGGTTTATTGAAAAATAGATAAATAGATCATGATTAGAAATTGTAAAAGATTATAACACCACATGTAGACTACTGGGTTGCTCTAGAATCATAGAATCACCAAGGTCGGAAAAGATCTCCAAGATCATCAAAACCATCCACCTACCACCAATATTTCCGCAATAAACTATGTCCTTTAGTGCAACATCTAAACATTTCTTGAACACCTTCAGATATAGTGATTCAATCACCACCCTGGGCAGCCCATTCCAGTGCCTGACCACTCTTTCAGAGAATAAATTTTTCCTAATATCTGATGTGAATGTGGCCATTCCCTTCCGTCTTGTTGCTAGATACACAGGAGAAGAGGCTGACCCCCACCTCGTTACAACCACCTTCCAGGTAGTTGCAGAGAGCTATAAGGTCCTCCCCTGGTCCTTCTCTTTTCCAGAATAAGCAATCCCAGTCGCTCCTCATAAATCTTGTGCTCTAGACCCCTCACCAGCTTTGTTGTCCTTCTCTGGACACACTCAAGGGCCTCTTTGTCTTTCTTCTAGGGATGGGCCCCAAGCTGAACGCAGTAGTTGAGGTGTGACCTCACCAGATCTGAATATGGGGGGATTATCATCTCTCTGCTCCTGCTGATTTCTGGTATATACACTATTTCTGATATAAGCCAGGATGGCATTGGCCTTCTTGGCTGCCTGGACACACTGCTGGCTCATGTTTAGCTGAGCAATGACCAACACCCCCAGGTCCATATCTTACGCACAGTCTTCCAGTCTCTCTGCCTAAAGCCTGTAGTGTTGCATGGAATTGTTGTGACCAAAGTGTTGGACCTAGCACTTCTTGTTCATACAGCTGGGGCCTCAGCCCATGGACCCAGCTTATCCAGATCCCTCCTAAGGATCTTCCTACCCTCATGCAGATCAACATTTCCTCCCAGCTTGTTTTCATCTGCAAACTTACTGAGGGTGCACTCAGTGCCCTCATCTAGATCATCAATAAAGACATTAAACAGGACTGGCTCTAATACCAATCCTTGGAAAACACAACTTGTGACCCGTCACTGGCTGCATTTAACTCCATTCACCATCAGTCATTGGGCTTGACCCTCTAACTCATTCTTCACCCAGCAAAGTTTGTACTTATGCAAGCTACCGGCTGCTGTCTTCCCCAACACAATACTGTGAGAGATGGTGTCAAATGTTTTGCTCGAGGTATAAGTTGACTATGTCAACCATCTATTAGGTGGGTCACTTGATCACAGAAGATCAGTTGGCTAACCAGGACTTGCCTTTCATGAATACATGCTGGCTGGGCCTGATCACCTGCTGATCACACATGCTGTGTAATCTCACTCAGGACAATCTGTCACATAGTTTTCCCTGACACCAAGGTTGATAGGCCTGTAGTTCTCCAGATCCTCCTTATGACCATATTTGTATATGGCAGTCACGCTGTCAAACCTCCAGTCCTCTGGGACCGCTCTCGTTGACGAGGACTGTTGATAGGTGCTGAAAAGTGGCAATCACCTCTGCCAGATCTCTCAGAACCCTTGGGTGTATCCCATTTGGTCCCGAACTCGTGACAGTCCAGGTAGAATAGAAGGTCTCTGACTGTTTCCACCTGAATCATGAGGGGTATATTCTGCTCCCCATCCCAAGCTTCCAGGTCAGGGGGTAGGAGTACTCTGAAGATAGGGGGTCTGACATTTAAGGACGGATTTAAAGCAGGCATTGAGAACTGCAGCCTCTTCCTTATCTTCAGTGGTCCCCACAGCATCCAGTGAAGTCTGGAGATTCTCCTTAGCCCTCCACTTAATGTTAAGAGAAAACATGTTTGTAAAAGAGTTTTTTGTTGTCTTTTACTACAGCAGCCAGCTTGAGTTCAAGTTTGGTTTTTGCCTAATTTTCTCCCTACATATCCTTGCAACTTCCTCAAGTTGCCTTCCACAAGGTAAGAGGTAGAGGTAGACTCTTTTTCTCCTCGAGTCTCAGAAGTTCCCTGTTCGTCCTCACAGTTTTCTTATCTGCTGGCTCATCTTACAGGGGGACAGCCTGCTCCTGCACCTCTAAAACTTCTTTCTTGACATGTGTCCAGCCTTACTAAACCCCTTATCCTTCAGGATGAATCCCAAAGGACCCTTCCCACCAGTGTCCTGAACAGTTTAAAGTCTGACCTCCAGAAGTCCAAGGTAGTAGTTTTGTTGACCCCTCTCCTGACTTCACAAAGAATGAAGAACTCTACCATTTCATGGTTGCTCTGCCCAAGGCAGCTCTTGACCTCCCCATCACAATCCTTTGTGAAGAGCAGGACTATGATCTGCTAGAGCAGGGCACCTCCCCTGGGAGGCTCTTACCAGCTGCATCAGGAAGTTGCCTTCCAGGCACACTCTAGAAATCTCCTAGACTGCTTCTTCTGTACTGTATTGCATTTCCAGCATATATCAGGAAAGTTGGAAGTTCTTCATGAGAACAAGGGCTAGTGATCTCACTACTTCTGTCAGCTACTCATAGAAGGCCTCATCCATCTCTTCATCCTCATTAGGCAATCTATAGCAGTCCTCTTCCAGAATGTCAGCCTTATTGGCTGTCCCTCTGATCCTTACCTGTATAGACTGAACCTTATCATTCCCAGTTCCACGCTCAACAACATCAAAACACTAAGATAGAGAGCTGTGCCACGAGCTTTCCTTCTTTGCTTGTCCCTTCTGAAGAGCTTATACCCATCCATTGCAGCACACCGGTCATGGGAGCAGTCCCACCGTGTTTCAGTATCAGCAAGTAAGCCACAGTTTGCCTGCTGCAAGATGGTTTCTAGCTCCTCCTGTTTCTTGCCACTGCTGCCTGCTTTGGAGTACTACACCTTTACCCAACGTGCCGAATTTAAAGCCCTCTGTATGAACCCTGACAGCTCCAGGACTTCATTTCAATAGTCTTTCACTTCCTGAAAAAATGTTTCAGATTACAAGAAAACTTTCTACAGTGTTCTCATTGCTATAATTTTCTGGCTTTCGAAGTGAATGATATCACAAGGGGCTTAAAGTGAATACAGACAGGTTCTACTGTATGTTTAACTGGGAGGTAGTATAAATATAATTTATGCAGTTGTTTAAATGAACTATTTAAAATGTATGATTATTTGTATTATTGTTATAAATTTTATAAGAAATATTGCTATATATAGTGTTCTTTTCAACTTCTTTTCTAGTATAGTTCAGATTGAGAGGAAATATCAGATAATCGGGAATTAAAGCATTTCTTCTTATTGTGTGTTTCTGTTGTCAGTGAACTAGTTTAAGATGCATTGTATATTTCCTTTAACCAAATCTAAATTTTGAGTTGTTTTATAAGCAGCCAACAACCCTAAGTCTCTTGGATGAGTTGTTTTTGTCTGTTTTTTTTGCAAACTGCTGTTAAAATAATATAAATATTTTCTCCCAATAGCATCAGAGGCTTCTTGACATTTTAGAAGCAGAGAAGGCAGTCTTGTCAGAAAAGATAGAAGAAGCTCTGATGCAACAGTCACAGAAACATAAGGTATTGCTTTTATTTATAAAAGAAAAATGATTCCAGTGCACACTATAGATTTCATAGGCAATGATTATGTCACAATTATTGACAGGAAAATGGATTTTTCCTTTTCAGCAGTTGACTAAAATTACTTTTAGCCACTCCTCTATTGAATATTGTTGTTGAATTTTTCATGATATTTACAGGAAGTGCTGGACAAATGTTTGGATGAAGAAAGGAAAAGAAGTAAGGAGGCTATTGCAGCTGCTGCAAAGGTATCTCTTGCTTAGCAACTCATTTCATAACCAAATTTGTCAAATGTTATATTCTCATCTGTGTTTAAAGGAAAATCTGAGCGTAGAAATAAGCAAATTAATAGATCTTTTTTATTTATTTTATTGTGTGTTTTCATAGAGATAGTCTATGTAAGCTGTCTTCTATTTAAGCTAACCTCTGAACTAGTTTATTACAAGAAGTTCGAAAATTGCAGTTCAGTTGTTGATGTTACCTGAATGTGTTTCTATTGTCTTTCAATTAGCATCAGTATCTCTCAACTTGAAGAGCTGGGTAGCAAGGTCAATTGATCTTAAGACAGTTAGCATTGTATCTTACTTAATTTTTGTTAAAAATGGTGATTTGCACTGAGGACAGGACAGTGAAATCATGTGAAAATACAAACATTTCAACAAACAATGTAATTTCTAATTCTGGTACAGAATGCAGTACAACATTTCAGTTGCTTGTAATGATCTGAGAAAACTAGTAAAAAAAACTAGTAGAAAAAAACAAGAAAAACAGCTTTATTTTTAAATAAATGAATTTGAGGAACCCAATATTTATGGCCTTTTATAATTTTTTTTTTTACTTGTTGCAGTATTATCATCAAGGATACTGCACTGACTTATAAGCTTATTAAAATAAGGAGGAGTGAGCTGCCAGCCAGTGTTTGTTTTGAACTTCAGCATGACATTATTTGTAGATGTTGTGTAATGATAGATCGTCTTGCTGATAAATATATTTGTGGATGGTTCAGCTTGTATAGATCTGTGCATTGTCCCTTTTACTTCAAATTCAGTGTGTTTCTTCTGATGATTTCATGTAATGGTTGAATTTTTTTATTAAAATTCAAAAAAGATGGAATTAAACTTCTTTTAGTATGTGCAGCTAAAGAGTTTGGGGATGGAAGGCACATTTGTTTTAAGTATGCATTGGCTACTTTGCCAAAGGTAGTGTTTATACTGTTCTTGGACTTCATTAAATTCTTGAAGATTAGAGCCTCCCATAGGAAGTCCCACAATCATAGAATCACAGAATGCTTTGGGATGGAAGGGACCTCAAAGATCATCTAGTTCCAGCTCCCATGCCATCGCCAGGGATGATGTGGTGTGTGAATAAATATCACCAACACTTATGTGGTTTCTGCTCCATGTTATTTTTTTTTTGTGATCACAGAATGCAAGCTAGTTATGATATGGTATACCCAAATGGACATTTAAGATCTTTGCTTCCAGCTTTTTAATTCTGTAACGGTTAAGTTATTGTCCTGTGGTAGTACAAGATTGGTAGCACTTTAAGATGGATTGAAGTTTATAATTCAGAAGTAAAAATATTTTTCTCGTATCCTGTTAGCTCACTGATCTCATTAGGAAGAGTAAAATGTGTTCTTACAGCACCCACACTGGCTATTTTCTTCATTTACTTTTTGGTTTGTTTTGAAGGCCGAAAAAGAAATAGTACAGGAGGTTGTTCTGAAAGCTGTAGAGGAGGAAAGGAGAAATATGGAAAAGATTCATGAAGAAGAAAGAAATATGTGGAAAGCAGAACATGAGAGACATAACAAGAAGATTGCCCAAGCTGTTTGGGAAGCAACGCAAGAGCAAAGAAAACATAATGAAGTTAGTATATTTTATTCTTCTATGGACTTGCTTTGTTTGTTTTATATTTAATTTTTAAGATCTTTCTAATTATGATAGATTTTCTTATGATACGTTGTTTTTCACTGCTTGTTGATATGCACTGCATTCATAAGTTATCTCCATTTAGACTGGAAAGAATTTGGCAGTTTCAGAACATAGCTCCTGTGACTTTTTGAGGCATGTGTATTGAAATGAGGTAATTGTGCACTGTAAATGCCTGGTTTTCTTCACTAACTTCCAAAAGTGCCCAAGAGAAATTGTTCAGATAGTGGCATTATGTTGTACATTATTTATGCAACTTTTTCCTTTTTATACCTATGGAAGAAAAGTTACATTTATTCCTTATTATGCTGGAATTCCATTGTCTCTCTTAGTAAAAGGATGCTTTACTAAGATAAAATATAGAGTAGGTACAAAATAAAGGGGATTATTACAATCAGAAACCTAAAACATTAACAAACCAATGTTTTTAGAGTTGCATCTTAGACAAATGCTTCTGTAGGGATAGTTGTATGTAATAAGAGGAACATTCCCAGCACAGTACTTAACAAGACAGTAGGGATCTCAAATTAAGTAGCTCTTCCAAAAAAAAAAGTTCAATTTTGTAGTCTCTACTGGTCAAAATATCTGAAGGACCAGTCGGTTCCTTCCTTTTTTTGGTGGCCTAGTTGTTTAAAATTCTTTGCACTATGAGATTCAAGATGTATTTCATTCAAATGTTGGAATTTTATGTTGCTGGTTTTTTAACACGCTGAACAATAAAAAAAAGAAAAAGAAAACAAAAACAAAAACAAAAACAACTATGCAGCTTTAAAATTTAAAGAATAGGATAAAATATCATTTATGTTTAAAACCCATCTCCTTGCAAACAGATGCCATTACCCTTTCCAGTGTTTAAAAGAAATATTCATCTCACAGCTAACCAAATTTACAAAGTTATTTTTTGATGCAAACCCATTATTATAATCTGCATCTGTTTTGTGTACATTTCTAAATGTAAATTAGAAGTTGTGTAAATTTCTAAACAAAATCATTTTGTTCTGTATGTAGCAGGCTTAATTTTCTTGAATTTAAAGATATCAACTGATAGGATGTCAGTTTTCAAAGTAGTAATTTTACTGTGATGAGCATTGCTATGATAAATTTTTCATGATCAAAGGATAATCCAGTGACTTCAAAGCTAAATTTAAGCTAAGAACACTACTCGAGGTTTAGCTACGGTAGAAATCTTATAGACTACCCTGAATGACTATTGGTACCAGTGGTACAGAGGAGCTATTAACAGCAGAAAGAACAGTAACGTAGTTGCGTACTACAGTGAAGAAAGATGATAGCTTTATACCATGTGGAACATGAAGAGATTAGTAGCAGGAGGAAATAGAAATGAATGTGTCATTAAATTAATGTGCAGTTTAGTGATATTTCTAAGGCAGATAGTTCTGTTCTTCTGTGGAAACCTGTGCTTCTTGGACAAAATGTGCTGTCTGTCAAATGAGAAGATTAAGGTTGGTTTTGTGTTTTAAACATTCGTCGAGGAATGGGTCTCATAGTTGAGTGTATGAGGTCAGGCAGGATTCTATTCTTATGTACTTGGGCTGCACATAAAATATATTCAAGTGACTCAAGGTAGGTGTTTTTTTTCCAGGAACATACTACTGGAGTTTCTTATTACTTTGGAAATAATCACGGGCAGCATAATATTAGTAGTTTAGTATTGATTAATATATTTTCAGACAAAATCTTAAATACTGAGATGTCAGTGCTTTTCCAAGGAAGAAATTCAGGACTTCAAGAGGACTTTTCAGCTTGGGAAGCTAGCTAATCAAGCAGTTGATTATGTTAGATTATTCAGTTATGTACTGCGATGCTGAGTAGTACTCCGTTATCGGAGAATGTTTTTAGTACGTCTCCCATACATTTCTTGCTTTTGATCTAGTTATGGAGCATTCATTAATTCTTTTTTTCTAATACTGAATAGCTCTGACAACTTTGATGTTAAGAGGAAGAATTTATCTAACAATAAATTGTGATTTCTCGTTTGAATTAGGCTCCTTTTTTCAAACATTTAATTTGTTTTCACTTAAGTAAAATGCAGATTTTTCTTGAGATTTCTAGAGTTCTCTCATATAAATATGTATAACATATTTGATGTTTTGTTTTTTGCGAGAATACAAGTTCTTTGGGAAGGATGGACTTTCATATGGAATGCTTTTCTTTGCATAAATTTTCATTTTTTATTTCTACTATGAAATTACTTACTTCCATAAGCCTCTTATAAACATTCTACAGCTACTAAAATTTTCTCAATCTGGCAACAAAGAAAGCCGTATAAAGCTGATAAGCCCAATTGGAAGTTATCAGAAATGACTTTGATTTAGAGCTGAAAAATGGTTGGAACTACTGTCAAGCAGTTTGTCAGTTCACAGTGGTTTTATAGGGCTTTCTACTTAGTTTCTTATTTGCATTTTTTCTTTAAGATTTTTCTTGCAAGAGGTATAAAAACTATTCACTTACCTGCAGTTGTTGTTCAGACAGCATAGTCAGCATGTCAAGTCAGCCCTGTAATGGCCATTAGACATAGTCTAATATTTTGGACAACTAAATGTAAAACTGTGGTAACATAATGCCTCTTTTAATTCCTCATATCTTGTTGTATAATTCTTTATGCTTCTTGCTTCAGAATTGTCATTTGATAATATTATTATGTTTAGCACCAAGTAATGAAACAAGTGTGGATGCGTGTAAGTGAACATGCAAAATATCTTTTGTTGTCAGGCATATAAAAACAGCACTACAGGGAATACTGTTATTACAATAGAACTAACTTTTAAACCAATGCATAAGTTTGGAACTTAATACTAAGAAAGAGAAGCCTTGTTCTCAAAAAACTCTGTATCCTTTTCGAATTCTCACAAACAGGAAAAATACGTGTTTGAGATAGAAACAATATTTTTATGTTTAAAATTGTCTTTCTTTTACCTCATTAGTAATTTTGTCATAGAAACTTAGATTACAATTGAATTTTACCATGCTGCAAATTAATTTTAAGAGATTGATTTTAATGATTTGAACAACAAAGTATTATGTCAAGCATAGTATTAAATAGAAGCAATTTTCCTTTGCTAATGCTATACGTCTGCAAAATTGAAAGACTGGAAAGGCTCATGTACACTACTGCAAATAGTTGAGGCAGGATGGCTTGCAGTCATGAAACACATAGGTAAATCTAGCAAAGAAGAATGAAAAAGTCTGAACATATGCTAAATTTTATGATCTTCTTTGAGATGAACTTCCACATTATAATCTGTGATTGAATTATAACCATCATGATTAACCCATTATCAATATTAAAAATATTGTTAACAAATATGCAAAGTAAAGATAAACTGACGGTGAAAGTAATCTTAAAAAATTCTGAGTTAAAGCTTCCTTTTTTAAAAGTAATTAAAACAAGAAGATATCATAAATATGACGCTTAGATGGGGGAGAATAAGCTCTCCTTGAAATAAGCAAGCTTTTAATTAAAGAAAATGTACTTTTGCAAAGTAACTACGTAATCTTTTTGCAGCACATTGAAAAGTTATTATAGGTGAGGATGTTTACCCTGCTAAATGTGGATTGGCATGTCTCCAGCATTTTATCTTTTATTTTGGTATACTCTATTGGTTTTTTTTCAGTAGCAACTTCCCTGCAAAGAGGATTTAATGGGCCAAGTAGTCCTCAATGTTGTGTGGAATGAGGAATGACTGAAATAGAAAATTATCCCACTAGAATATTTTATCTAAAGTTTGTTTGTTTGTTTGTTTGTTTGTTTTTGATTTAGCAGAGGTTGCCCAGTGCATACAGAGATCTATAAACTTAGCTAAAGCTGAACCCTTCCATGTAGAACTCAAAATGGCATTTAAGCACCTAGTATAAATGTAAGTGGAAAAGACAATGAACAGTGCTTTCTGCTGTTAAAGATTATTTTCTTCCCTCTTTTACTCTTTGGAAAAAAAAGTAAATCTGGGTAATAGAAAAGAGTGAAAAATTGGGGAGATAGGGCAAATTGAGCAATAAAAATTTCAGTAAAATAGAAATAACTGAACAGTAGGTCACTCCAAAAGTAATGCCTCCTGTTTATTGCCACAGAACTTAAAAGCACAATAACAGAATTTGATAGAGCAAATTCTCTGCTACAAAACACTATTTTTCAACATAGTCACCACCATTATCTATGCTTTTACGTCGGTGATGAACAAGAGCTTGTGTGCTGCACCCATAAGAATCTGCACCTGTGGAAGTGACCCACTGTCACTGTCACCACTGCTGAAACACCACCCACCACCTCACTGTGCTCACTGTTTGGTCTCCATAACCATTCAGCAAGTGTTGATAAATGTCAGAGAGTGCCATTTTTTCCACATGGAGGAATTCAGTTACAAACCTTTGCTTCATATGTACTTCCACATTAGACTTCATACTGTCAGATTGACCTCTGCTTTCATCTCTCACATGACAACAATATGTAATGGAATAGTGGTGGGAAAGTCCAACCTCTGTTGTCATACCACTAACATCTGTCTCTGGTGCCATGGGCTAGCATAATAAGATAGGAGGCATTACTTTTGGAGCAAGCCTCGTATAGTTACTAGTCAATGCAAAGTAGATATACCGTTAGCTAGAGCAAACATAACACTATAATGCAGAGAGATGTATGTAGCTATTTTAGCTCTCTGCATGCAGTGTTATAATTTCATAAAACTAAATACTTATTTTTTATTTTTTTTTCTTCCCATTTATGTAATTAAGACATCAAAGACAATTTATGCCTGACAATTTTAGTTTTAAAAAAAAATCTTTAAAATTGAAATGATAGCAAGCATCTGAAGAGTGAGCCCCAGATTTTCAGTTCTATGCCGTAACTTCAAGGCTTGTATTTAAAGTATCACATAGAATCTACTGCATTTTATCCTGATTCTCAGGGGAAAAGGAGCTTG